AATTTTTATCAGAGAATTTGTGATTTTTTATTTTTTTTATCAGGGAAGACCAGGATCCCTGCTTATCAGAAGCAGGACTAATCATGCCATCTCTTGACTGGTCAGCCTCAGACTCTATCTGGTTGAGATGGTGACCAGGGCATCAGCCTGTCCCACTGACACTTGCCAGGGTTATCAGCTCTGTATTCCCCTGTCTTCTGCTGCGAGTCCAAAAACTCTTCTGGCAACAGATCTTGATCTGCAACTCACAAGTCATAGGGGCCATGGTATTTGCACCTTGAGCTAGGGTTCTTTGCTGTCTGTGATCTCTCAAGAAAATCTCCATTCTAGTTATCTCTAAATATGCCACCAGAGCTCTGTTCATGTCTTGTAGGCACTGTGCCATTGCTGATGCTTCTAGATTGGACTCTGCATTTGAGAAACTAGTTCTGCAGTTGCTGTTCACCAAGAAGTATACAATCCTGCCTCTGTGTGAACAAGGCACTGCTTTGTACTTTCCATTATAGACAACTCTATTGGAGAAAGGAGAAGAGAAGTTACTTTCCTTAGTAACTGGAGTTGAAAGATATCCACATGCAGGTTCTACATCTTAATCTTCTTTGGGGTCCCAAATATTCTGAACTTACATGGTATGAGGAAACTGAGGAACAGGAAGATCATATAATCTGTTTATATCCATAGTTTACAGTCTTGGGAGAAATGGGGTTTATGAATGCAGAAGGCAAAAAAACCACCTTGAAACAAGTGTATAAAGTAGGCTTATTCCTAGTGGAATGTATGTATGGACAGCACATTTCTAAGAGTTATAGTTACTGTCATGGGTAACTATTATCTCCAGCTCAAAGGAGACCTAGGAATTCAAACAAAAGTGCAAGACATTTCAGAGACTAATTGAATATTGGTAGTATGTTGAGGTAATAAGATGGTTTACAATTTTTTTTGAAGTTCTTTATTCTGTAAATATTGATTGTTCATTAACTTTGGCAGTGAAGTAGATCTAGGGAGCTGTTGCTGTAACGTAGGCTCATGCTGGGTATCCACTAATCATCCTTCATGTTGGGATGAATCAAGGGCGACAGCCAGGCTTAGGAAAACCCTAAAAAAAGTGGAGGGTCATGTGGTCTTCAGAGGAATTCTCTGATCCCTAAAAGGATGATCTGGGGGACATTCAACCACTGAGATTCATTCACTCTTATCAAAGGATAGGCACCAGCTGAGTACCTGTGAAAATGGCTAATTGTGGGAGGCTACAGCTTAATTTGTTAGATAATTCATCCATGGCATCTGATGAAGCAGGTTGTTGCTTATGAAATCTCTCTGAACCAATTATTCTTTAAGGTATCACCTTGCCCTACCTTCTACATGACTTCAGACTGACATGGATAACCACCTCTATGATAAGTAATGAAGACATTATTGAAGAGAGAGCCATAAAAAATAACCTTAGATCAAATAAGATTAAGTGAAATGGTAAACAAAATGGAGTTAAAATCAAGAACCTAAGGTTATAAAAGGGTAAAGTTTGAAAAACTAAGAGAGTTAGTTATTTAAATAGTTACTTGTTAATCTCTTGTGGTGCTCTTCTATGTGGGCACTAATGATGCTTCCAGAGGTGATCTTGAGCAGATCAAACACAATTTCATGGCTCTGGATACAGTGGTGAAGGTAATGGTGGGGGGGAGAAGGCAATGTTGTTGATCCTCCCAGTCAAGGGTAAAGGTTTGACCAGGAGTAGATGCGTCCTGGAGATCAGCATGTGGCTGAGTCGATGGCATTGCCAGCAGGGCTTTAGCTTCTTTGACCATGGGATGGTGTTGCAGGAAGATGGGATGTTGGGGAGAGACGGGGTCCACCTGACAGAGGGTTAGCAGGCTTGCTGATCTAATGAGGAGGTCTACTGTGACCCCTCAGGTCCTTCTCTGTAGTACTGCAGCCTGGCCAGTTGTTCTTCAGCCTGTATTTGTGCATGCAATTATTTTGTCCCAAGTGAAGGACTTTGACCTTGCCTTTGTTAAATCTTATCTGATTGATTGTGGACCATTTTTCCCATCTATCCAGGTCATTCTGGATCTTAGGCCTACCATCTGGAGTATCTGCAACTCCACCTTACTTGTAATTAGCAGATTTGCTAAACATGCGCTCAATCCCATTGTCCAAATTGTTAATGAAGTTATTAAACAATACAAGATCTAGGACAAGACTGCTGGGGAATACCACTTGATACTTCCTCCCAGCTAGACACTGAGCCATTGCTGACAACTCATTGAGGAATATGAGCCAACCAGTTATATATCCATGTTAAAGTACTTTTATATTTCCTTAGCTTGTTAATAAGAATGTCATGGGAGATGGTATCAAAAGCCTTGTTAAAATCAAAGTATGTCACATCCGCTGATTCTGGGAGAAAAGCTTTGTGTATCATTTCTCAGCCTTCTGTAGGCTAAGATCATACAAGTAAATACAGTATTTTGTATCAGTTATAAGGTGATGTTGACTCTGACAACAAAGGCAGAATGGGTAATAGAAAGTGTGTGGGGCAAACAGAAACAAAAATCAAACAGTTTCATGCGCTCATATCAGAGCGGATTTGAATAATCTCCATCCCAAAGTACTTAAAAAACAAAAAAAAAAA